TATTTACTATACAATAACATAAGCAAAAAATAAAAAATTTATTTGTAAATTTTTTTTAGAAAAAGTAGCTTAAAAAGTAGCTAAAGCTACTTTTAAAAAATAGTAGCTAATAGCGAGCTACTTTTTTGACAAATAGCGATAGCGGTAGCGCGCTACTTTTTTTAACAAATAGCGATAGCGGTAGCCAACTTTTCTTAATATATCATAAATTAAGATGTAATACCCAATATAAATTTTTAAAAATGCCCTTCATGCAATTTTAATAGGTTATCAGAGCACAATTTTAACAATATTATTTAAGCAAATAGATTTCGGAAAAAGATAAGCCTCCAAATATCAATACTGAGGTTATGTCCTAGTTCCTCTTTTATCTAAATAGCAGGCTGTGGCCGTCTATATAGATTTCTCTAAACAGCCTAAAAAAGAAGCAGGATATTTAGATTTACACACGTAAAGTATTTTTGTGACTCTTTCTGAACAAAAATATTTATTTAATGTACACACTTAAAACAAAATTGCTTTAGTTCAAAATCTGTTTAGCCGAAAGTTTCAAAAAATAAGACAAACCGGGACACGGCCTGATGCCAAGATTCAATAATTACTTTTAAATGGTCAGAAGGCATGGGCAGATATATAAATATCAAAATATCACAAATCGACAACTAATTCATTACAGGAATTATTAATTTGTAAAAAAAATTGATGAGGAAAGTTTCAAATAGTAAAGAAAATTATCAAGTGTTAAATATTTTACGCGATATCAAGCGCCTAGCCCTAAGCGTGATATATATAACAGAGATTCCCTCATGAAAGCCCATCATAGTGGGATTAAAGATGGAAATAATTAAATAATTAAGAGGACCATCCATGTTTTTTGGGCACGCCGCAGGTATCTGTGCGCGCAAGAGGCACACTTAAACGTTCATGGGAAATAAGAGGAGAGGTAAAAAGCCCATGCCCGATTAAATAAAAATTTGATTATGGAAGGGTTATGTTGACTATGTTTATTTTACTTTTATTTAGCATTGTGAGAAACCTAAAAATAAACATGATTAAATAAAATAAAAAATACCAGTACAAATACAATCACTTACCAATAAAACTAGTTCTTTATATCCAACTTTGAAAATAATCAATAATCCAATATAATATTCAATATCTATCGTACCCGAAAAACCTAACCCAAAAAATTATTTAAAAAAACATATGAAAATTAAAATATACCATATTTAATTCTTTTTTTCTCTTATTAAAAAATTTTCCCTTCAATTAATCTATTTTTGGCATACACTTTCTCGTAATGGGTATAGATATATCACGTTGGTTATAGTATAGTAATTATCTAAACAACGACCAAATTTTATAAAAATACAACTTGACCCATTTTTAGATTAATATAATATTATGGGAATCAGGCAGTCACTTCCGAAATTCTATTTATCAACATATCTAGTAACAAGAACCACCTGATTGGCTTCAGAAAAAGTGGTCTTTAAATTCGAAATCAGATTTCTAAGGTGATTTCTATATGTATTAGCCGATTAAGCCATATACGCTATAAAATAACAAATTTTTCTACGAGACTATCTATTTTAATAAGAGCAAATTTTAAAAAATCAATAACGTTCAAAGCTATACATCACATCTCTTCAATAGTTTGAGAAACCGTATAATATCAAATTAAGCTCCCGATCCAATATTATATATATTTGAACCAATTTAATCAAAAAAAAATCTATACTTTTTATTCAAAAAAGGAAATTTATTGGCCAAATATGGAACACCGAAATTTTAATTTTTTCATTTCCATCAAAATAGATATTTAATGCATTATCACTATTAATTGGGTAATGGCTAAATGTCGGTTAATGATAGATACTGCCAAGTCAATATATAACAATTTTCACATCCTAATTTGGTAAATAGCGACCAAGATTTATTAAAATATAATAAGACTAACTTATTATTTAATATATATTAACGGAATCATGTGGTCGAGTCCGTACTACTATATATCATCTCTCCAAGGACTGAAACACCAAGTTGGCTTAAGAAAAAAACATGATCCTTGCTGGGATTCGAACCCAAAACCATCGAATAGGAAAAACGACGCTCTTGTCGACTAGGCCACAGATGCTTTTCATAAATCACGATTTTTCAAATATACATTATAAATAAATTTGGCAGTGTCTATCCAAATGAAAAATAAAAATTTGATAAATACTACCTTAGGCAGTACCTATCATTATATATGTCGGCCAATTCGGCTCAAATATATTGGCACGTGCCGAAGAAAATTTGCCGAAATGAAGGCGTTTAAATTTATATATATTAGTTTCTTTCAAATTATTTTTAAAGATAACCTCGGAGGCCAACGCGATAATTTTCCGATAAAAAATCGGTTTTAGCAGGTTAAAAATGTAATTGTCTAAATATAATTCACGAATACTGGTCTATTTTGATATTAAAAATAATTTAATTCCCGAAAAGTTTATAATCTATTCATCGCTTATTTAAAAAAAATAAAATAGATACTTACAATGATTATGGCTGATCGTGACTCGTTTAGATTATTTGTAAATCCTTTTCGTTTCTTGTCGCGAAAACAAAAATCACATTTTTTTTGAAACTTTTTTATATGATTTTATTTTGCACTAATTTTTTTAAAAAATTTTATTAAAGAAAACCAAATTTTTTACGATGTATTTTTCTTATATTAAATTTTATGCTAGTTTTTTTTTATATATCATACTCTCTTCAAATATGATGATTAAAATTTTTTATTTTTCTTTCAGTGAAATTATTTCCTTATTTTATTATATTTATAAATTGTTTTTTTTAAAGAAATATTTGTATCTTTGGGGACAAAACCCGAATTATATACGAAATTTTTTTTATTATATTCTCTCATTTTAAATAAATCAATATTTTTTTTTAAAAAAAATTGAATTTTTGTTCATTTAATATTTTAATATTATTTTGAAAATTATGTCCTCAGCTTTTGCTGTGCTAAATAGACATTTAAATCATGCCAAAGATTGAAGGGTAATGTTATAATTTAATAAAATAGCAATTTAATTGTAGTAATTTGTTTATCTAAAATTTTAACAAATTCACCTTCATAGAAATTTGTATTTATATGTATAATTTATAGATAATATTTTTTTAAAATTAATTAGAAATATGAGTTAAAATTAATTTATAATCTAAACATTTAAGAATCTTTTGATTTGATTTGAAAAATTGGCTAAAATTAATATTAATTATAAAAAAAATATTATATATTATAATTTAAATTTTGGGTTATACATTTCAAGAGTGGTTTTATTTTAATAAAATTTTATTTATTTTTTGATAAACTATCAAATTGATAGGTTGTGTCTTTATAAAAGAGACTAACAAAAATTATAACTCACAATAAGGGCAACTTTTTTAGTTGGGTATTATAATTTTACACTTATAACTAAATTCTTCCATATATTTACAAGCAATGTTAAATTAATCATAACAAACATTACTTTTTCAAAAATTGTAGTAAATGGCATAACTTTTCCTAGGGCTGTCCCAATATTAAATAACAGATTGGAGACAAATTTATTTTCTTTTTCAAATTATTAAGTCAGGCCACTATTTCAAAAAAATAAATCCAATAATCACTTTTTTTTTGTAATTTATATTATATATTATACATAATTTTATAAAATGAAATTATTGAATAGCTAATAATAAAATTGTTTTTTTTGTTAAATGATTTTGCACATGAAAAGGATTTTAAAATATTTAACAAGCCATATTCAGCTATTAAATTTCCCATATTTTAAATAAAATGTTTAACTTTTGGGGCAATAAAAAAACAAAATATATTTCTTGTTATAATTCACCAAATATTGTAATGGCTATGAAAAAAGAAAAATTCAAAGTGCTCCTTATTTTGTTTACAGTATAAGGTCATTTCTTGCTAAGAAAATTTAAATTTTTTATGAATTGGTAAAGTTAGAGAGTAAATAAAGATCAGTCTAAATATTCAAATTGGGTTAATATAAATTTTAGATTGTAGGTGAAAAGTTCTCTAAAAAAATGCCATTACTTTATAGCACTGGCATAAATTTATAACTATTGGCCACTTATCTATTAAAATTTAAACAATCATCATCAATACTGATTGTTATTGGTATCAGCCCAATAATGATATTAAGTATTGGTATTATACCTCTGAAATTATGTATAAAAAGATCCATTTTTTGAAAATGTTGATTTATTCCAATATTTTCAAAATAATCAAATCTGTTATTTAATAATAGCAGAGCCTTATATGACTAATAAAATTACTCATTTGAAATTTAGGTGCATATATTTAAATTAAATTTGAGAAATATACAATTTGACAGATATCTTGAAGAAATAGAACACACAAAATAAATATTAATTTTAATAAATATTGCTGAATAATCAATAAAATAAAATATGATCACACCTGAATAATTTTATATTATATATATTTCCTTTATATTTTTCTTTTTTTTATAAAATTTTGTGGCATAGTGGTTTTTTAATTAAAAAATAAACTATTTGACAAACGTAGCTTTAAATATTATATTTTAATGCTATTAATGTTAAATTTTAAACAAACCAATAAGATTTATAAGAGTAAAAATTAGCTAGAAATACAAAATGGACTAATTTTATTTTTGGAAAGATTTACTTTTAAAGTTATGACTTTCAAAAAAATCTAAAATTAATAGGTGGAATGATTATCTTTATCAATGTCTTAATAGTATGTTACCTAATATAAAATTAAGATTATACATTTAAAATGAAATTTATAACTAAAAATATTATTATATGATTGGCAAGTAATATTTTAAATATTTTATTTTATAAATATTTGAGTATTAAACTATCTAATATAAAGATGATGATATAAGTTATATTTACATATAAATAATTTTAATAGACAAATAATATCTAAAAATAATTTTATATATAACTCGTAAAGTTACCTTTGCATGAAAGAATATAAAATAAAAATTTTAAAATTTTTATATTGGATGGATGCCAATAGTGCTTAGCTAAGCTAAAAAAATTTTTCTTTGGTAACTACCAGATAAAGTCCTTCCTAGACATGTTTTCACTTAAAAATTCTTAAAATGTTTGTATGTTACCGTGTCTATGGTCCTTTCTCCTGACCTTGACACTAGTTTTAGGTCATATATAGTTCTAATTTATTATTAATTCTAATTAAAATTACGCAACTTTAATATTTTTTATTACTAATATAATATTTAAAATTATTAAATTATTATACCTTTTTAAAAACTGTTTTATACATAATATGTTAAGATTAAGAGATTTTCTATGAGTGGCATGGTTCAATTCTCTATTAAGCAAATATATCCAATGAGCACACTTACGTTCTTTGAACTCAGGGCTAGGCATAGCCTGGGAAGGGGGATAGTGTTAAACATGGATAATTATTTTATCATACTGGTTGTTATATAGCGCAATTTTTTATATGTTGCATTCATTTAATTAACAAATTTATATTAACTTCACTTAAGATTTTAGAATATTTCCATACATTCACTTGGTAGTAAGCATCATTAATCATATGAATGACGCTATGGTAAACATACATTTATTTATTTATTTACAAAACTTTCATGTATCTAACCTTGATATAACTATCCAAAATATACTTAACTTATACTATCACCCCTCTAATCTAATATTCTTAAGTAGTAAGGCAGGTTAATTAACAAAATATATCATATTTATATTAAATAAAAAAATTCAATATAGACCATAAACTTAAAATTTACCAATACCCCTCCCTATAATATACATTTTACTTAATCGGGTCGGGCTTTTCTCTCTCTTCTTATCTCCCGTAGGCGTTTAAGCAAGTGGTTTCGCCTCATGCGCTCACAGGTAACTGCAGCCTGCCCAAAAATTGTGGATGAGCTCATCTCATAGGCTACCCCCAAATTTCTTAACCCAATTAGATGGGACGAGATAGTCCAAGCGTAGCTCTGCTGTTTCATATAGCGATAAAGGGCGATTGCGCTCATTGTGACGTATGACGTAACTTTTTTAATAGTTTCATTTAAATTTTTAATAGATTTTTTTTTATATAAAAAGAATAAATTTATTATATTTTTTTAGTTAAAAATCTTAAATTTTTTAAACCTTAACATGGTGGCAGACGTGGGATTTATAATTTTAAAATCTTTTAAATTTATTTTTTTTCTACCGAATATAATTTAGATCAAATCAGAGTTATACAAAAGATCTTCTTTGAAGATTTTTGAGCGATAAAATTTGAAGATCTTTTATTTTTTAAAAATTTTGTGTAACGATCAACGATCTTCAAAAATCTTCATGATATTTATTTTTTTACCCCTTTATTAAAAGCCCAGATGTTTTTCAATTTTCATCAAGGCAGGAGGAGAGGTATAAAACATAAAAGAAATATTATATTAATAAAATTGAAAAACATCTGGGCTTTTAATAAAGGGGTAAAAAAATAAATATCATGAAGATCTTTGAAGATCGTTACACAAAATTTTTAAAAAATAAAAGATATTCAAATTTTACGATCGATCTTTGAAGATCTTTTTATTTTGAGCAAATGTACAACTCTGGATCAAATGGATAAATCAACAATAAGGAGAATTACTAAACTTAATATCAAACTAGACGAATCTATCATGGATAATGTTTGTTATAAATGGAAATGATTACTAAAATTGCGTATATTAACTTACAAGAACCAATATGATAGTTAGACAATAGGTTATAAATTCTATAGAGTAAAACCAATGACGATTTACAAAATATTCTAAATCCAAGTAAAAAAAAGGAAGTTATTTAAGAGTTGTATAAAATAACTTAATAAATTAAATATAAATCAGTAATAATGAACATATATGAATACTTAGATAACCTTAAAAAATATTTGCTTAATAATGAATTACAGTTAAATTTCTTGATGACCTACCCATTGATATTTTTCGCATTTTTGATTTCTGGGATTATGACCAAATGTGGGAATAAACTGAATTACCTAAAAATAAATTCTTAGCTATAATAAAAAATATTATGTAGATAGGCCATATTTAATTCAATTCCCGGATCATTATAAAATTCATATTGACAAAATTCAGTCTAAAAAAAATTATTATAATACTTTGAAAAATATTGAACAAAATATTCAAAATGAAAGAGATTCCTATAAACTAAAAGAGATAAATTAGATAATAAAATTTGAAACATTTGTGATTATAGAAAATAATGAAATAAACATTAAAAAATAATGAAAATAAAGAAATAGACATTAAAGAAAATAATGAAATAAAAACTTTTATAATTGATAAATTTAAAAAAACTGTGAAAATAAAGAAATTTTGAACAATTTATTAAGAGAGGCAAGGTGATAGTTAAACATCTTGATGATAAAAAAGTTTTTAAGAATAAGATATGGAAATCATATATTAGAAATGGAAGGCGAAATAAAATTCTTTTTAGAAAAAACAATTTAAAGATAATTTATGATATGAAAAAGTTGTTTATATTGAAAAATAAGGGAGTAAAATTTAAAAAATAAAAATAATTGAATTTTAATATTAATAAAAAAAAATATTATATAAAACGCTACAATTAAAGATATTTTTAAAAAAAAATGATGTTAAAATTGAAATTTAATATTGATAATAATTATTATATAAAACGCGTAATTAGAAATAAATATAAAATGATATATTATAAAAAAAGCGGAATCAAAAATAAATGATATTTTATGAAATCTATTATATAAAACGGGAAATTGAGAAACGTAAAACGCTATTATCTAAAATGCAATATATATTATATAAAATAATAATAAAACGCGACCAATCATTCATTTTATTTCGATTATTCAATATTTGATTAATTTATTCTACTTCAATTATTCATAATCAAATTCGATATTCATTAAATTAATTCTATTTCGATTATTCGACGATTCTTATTTTATTACGACGTTATTCAATAATACCTATATTCTAAAATCATTCAAAATCTTCGCATATATATTTAATAACAAACAATGATAATAATTAACAGTAGGATGACAAAGTCAAATCATATGAACAACTAAACTATTTTTCAAAGATTTGGAGGGAGTAAGACAAGATAAGAAAGTTTACGAACATATATCAACTAATACTAAATATGATAATACCCAGATGATGCCATATACTGAGAGCAACAGACATTATGATAATAATTATAAACATCAGTTTAGACAACCATGGCAGATTTGACGATATTATGGCAACCCAAGATTTAACAACCAAAACAACTATCTCCAAGACAAAACTATAACAGATTTTATGATCAAAATAGATAGGAAACTCCTTGAACACGAAAGATTTACGTCTAAAGAGAACCTAAGTGGGGTTCCTTTAGAGGATGGAATGTTAAACATGGATAATTATTTTATTTTACTGGTTGTTATATAGCGAAAATTTTTATATGTCGCATTCATTTAATTAACACAATTTATATTAACTTCACTTAATAGTTTCATTTAAATTTTTAATAGATTTTTTTAATATATAAAGAATAAATTTATTATATTTTTTTAGTTAAATTATAGTTAAAATATTTTATATATTTTTTTATAAATAATAATTTTAAATTTTTTAGTTAAATCTTGTCTAACTCCTGCCAACCTTAACAGATAGGCCACCCCTTGGAAATTGCCTGCCTCTACATTCTGCTCATCTTCCATAAAAAGGGATACAATATATTACTATAAATGATGTATATATAATCCAGATTTGCGATTCATTAATTAAATGTATTTGAAAGTATGCGTACATAGCAGTCTTGTATTGCCATTTTTTGCACGTCAGTTAAATAACATTATTGTATATCATATAATGAGAAATAAATGCATTAGTTGATGTGCAAACCATAAAATGGCGCAGGGGCGTCGCTAGCCTTCACACTCTCAGGGGGCTTAACTAAAAAATATTTTTATGCTGGCCTTCGGCCCGCTTTTGCCCGGCCTTCAGCCGGGTTTTATATAAATATATTATACTTTTTTAAAATTTGTTAACTTTGAACAATTATTCTGATTTTCAAATTTTGTATATTATGCATACAAAATAAACTGGCATATAAAAAATCACATAATGCAATAATATAATTATTAGCAACTTATATTGACAAAAGGTTATCAAACTAGTATAAATCTCTGTAACCATTTTAGACAATGTTTTATAGAATGGACTAATAAGGAAAAATGTATAGGCCTAAACCAAATCAACAATTTTTGTAGGAGAGAGTATAAACGACCAATCTAAATCATAAAACTATATGGTGGTTAGAGCTTCCTCTTAGATGACATTATGGAAGCTAGATAAGTAATCGAGAAAATTATTGTGAGATATTAAATTTCTAAAAGATTATCTTCCATTTTAAATGATATATAAACGACTACACAGTTGAACATTATTGTTTATCTAAAATATGCAATTATATGCTCTCAGCCGTTATAGTAATAATCTTAAATTACATAGCAACACAAATAATAGATGCTGGTTAATTTTAATAGCCATGACACCCACGATATAAACTAATATCAGAATTTATTATGTTGGATAAATTGATAAAATAAAAACACTAAAAATCTTTGAAGAAATAATTATGCAAATATATTGAAGCCTGGAGTTATTTACACGGCAATGCCATATTAGAAATGAAACATTTTCTAACTATAAAATAAGGACCAGAATGATATGATAAAACAATTAAGATTTTATATATTGTCGCACCACCTTGGTATATTATATCTTAAAATAATAATAGTTTGTCATAATATCAAAAATATACTTGTATTAAAAATTTAACTCAAGACTGTTTTTCGAAAATGAAAAAAATAGCTTTTCTAAAAATACGTAAAAAAAGAGGAGAAAAGATATCAAATTGATTACATTAATTGCAGGATGAATAATAAATTGTTTAATTTTAAAAATTATTTATAACTAAATAACTAAATAGATGGCGTTAAATACTTGAATGCAATTTGTTATTATATTTATTATCAAAACCATTTATTAGTA